TAGCGTCCTGCGCTCAGCCTGGGCCGTTCCACAAACGGGCTGGCTGGCAGACAGCCGGATCATGAGGGCTGTCAGGCCGGCCTTCGCACCGACCGAGGGCGAGAGGCTCCAGCCAAGGAGGCCAGGCTACAGTTCCCCAGATTTGTTGAGAGAAATCAGAAATTAAGGTTCATGTAGACTTTGAGATCTTCAAATGTTGGCAACTAACTTGTCTGTCTTGAAAATTGTGCAAGCTGATTCCTTGAAACGTTACTCAGAATTAACGTGTGACCCAGCCATCGTACTCCCAGACGCAGGCTCCCAGAACCGAACACCAGCGTGCTCAGACGTGCAGAGCTGTGCTACTCACGAGAGCCCGAGGCTGTTGGGAAAGCCTCGGGGCGGGCGGGGTGAGGTGCTGGCACACACTCTGCTCTGCATGGCTGACCCACACCAACGCTCCAGGTTCGCATCCCCAGACCTACTTGGGCACAGCCTCCCCCGCCCTGTGTGCCAGGTTGGCTGAAGCTGGGAGGAGACTGTGGTGTCAAGACCTGTGGTGGGCACTGTCTGCCTCTCCCTGTCTTTCTCATGGGAGACAAACTTTTTTTGTAGAGAGATTTTTGCTACATGGGGCACGTGTGCTCATCAGACAGACAGAAGTGAGAAATCACGCCCCCAGGGATGGCCACGCCACAGTCCCTTCTCTTCCAATCTCCTCTCAGGATCCTGGGCACGCACACACACGTGCCTGGCGTGAGTTTTAAGCTGCTGGGTCTGGGACTTGAACTGCAGTCAACCGCACGGGAGTCCTGGCGATGTAACCATTAAGCCATCTGCTGGTCCCATAAAATAAACTGTTTAAAAGCCAAAGTGGGACTGGCAGGTGGCATAGTGGTTAAGGACGCTGGACTCACACATGGTCGACCATGGTTCGAATCCCAGACTTGGCAGCTTGCTTTCTCACTTTCTCTCTCTTTCTCTCTGCTTCTCTCTGGTCAAATTAAAATAAAGTTAAAAAAATAAATACCTCCCTCTCAACCAAAGGACAGACAGTGACACTTGGTGTACCCACTCGATGGAGTCGCTATCACTCAGAAACCAACACATTGGCATTTGGGCCCTCCTTGCCCACCACTGTCCCAGGCCAAGGTGTGAGCAGACAGGCTGCGCCCTCAGGAGCTCAGGCTGGTCTCTGCCACCTGTAGGGAACATCATGACATGGGATGGGGCAGGGAAGACAGGAAAGGATCCCTGAGGCCATGAGAAAACTCTGGGGCTGGGTGGAGGGTCACCTATGGGCGTCCTGTTAGTAAAGAGGTGCGGGCAGGCAGGTGAGGCAGGACCCCAGAGGAGGAACCGGCGGCTTGGGATCAGAGACCTCACACTCTTGGCCCAACCTGCCACCTCTGTCCTGGAGCCCGACCTGGGGGCCGCACTTCTGATGGGCTGCTTCTCCCCGGCAGGTGGTGTAATGGTTTCATCACAGGACTCCCATGTAGTCACTGCGGTTTGAGTCCCAGATCCGGTGGCTTAAAACTCATGCTAGGCATGTGTGTGCGTGCCCCAAATCCCAGGAGAATGGACTGTGGCATGGCCATCCCCCTGGTGATGCACACGCATGCACCCTATAGCAAATGTCTCTCATTAAAAAAAAAAAAAAAAAAGGAAAACAAGGGCCAGCTGCAGATGGCCACAGCTGGTCAGGAGCTACATGGGAGGCCCGAGTTTGGCTTCTGGGCCAACCTGAACGTGCCAGGTGCACCTGTCATCCTAACTGGGAGGGGGGGCAGAGCTCAGCCATCCCCGCTGACACATTAGACTCCACCTTCTTGTCCCTTCCTCTGGGGCCTGGAAGCCTAGAACTTACAGGCTGCCAATGACTCAGACGAGAACACAAGCCCCAACTATTGCTTTTGGGCAAAGAAAGCAGCACCCCTGGAGGCTGTGAACGGTCAGTCCAAGGTCAACACCAACCACATGCAGTGAAGGCCGCCTCTAGGCTCCTCACGGACAGTGCTGGCTCCCTCCCAGCCCGTCTCTGTAGCTGTGTGGTCAGCTTGGCAATGTCCGGCTCAGGCGGCCACTGTGCTGGGTGTTCATGCAAGGGCTGTGGGGCCACGAAAACTGAGCTGGAGTGCAGCTTTGCTAGTTTCTAGCTGCGCCGGGGGTGCCTTCCCGCTGATGGAGCACAGTGTACTCTCAACACCTGTGCCATGGGGATGTCTGTCCCATCGCCGGGGCCGAGTGGGAGGACTTGGCACGTGCAGCCCGGGTCGTTGGACTAAGCTGGCACTGGGCTCCCCCTCAGCCACTCTGGTGTGGCTGGGTGCTACAGGGCACACCTTAAGGCTGCCTTTTTGAGACCTCCGTGGCCACCGATCCACTCAGGATCTTCCTAGACTCGGACTTCTGCCTCTCCCCTCTGACGGCACCAGGAGTCGGTGCCGTGGCTCTCCCTCCCTGGTCCTGCCGTGCACCGGAGTCAGCAGTGTGGCTCCCTCCCTGGCCCTGCCGTGCACCAGGAGTTGGCACAGTGTCTCTCCCTCCCTGGCCCTGCCGTGCACCGGGAGTCGGCGCTGTGGCTCTCCATCCCTGGCCCTGCTGTGCACCGGGAGTGGGCGCTGTGGCTCTCCCTCCCTGGCTCAAGGCTACGCCTCTTTCCTCTTGCCCTCTTAGGAGCCAGGCCCCCAAACTGGCTACTTGATGGGGTCAGTGAGTTTATTTAAACTTAAGTTTTTTTTGTTGTTGTTAAGGCAGGGGCTAAGACTCAAGCCCGTTAAATTAGAAATTCTGGGTGGAGCCCAGCTTCCAAGTTTTTAAACAGCTCTCCAGGTGACTCCAAGAGAGAGAGACAGAGAGACAGAGACAGAGAGACAGACAAAGATAGACAGTGAGAAATCGACCCCCCGGGAGGAATGGCCACGCCGCAATCCCTCCTCCATTAACCTCTCAGGATTTTGAGTGGGCATGCACTCGTGCCCGATGTTGAGTTTCAAGCCACTGGGTCCAGGACTCGAACCATGGTTGACCACATGGGAATCCAGTGCCTCAACCACCACCACCACCAGCTGGTCCCATCAGTCCAACAATCCTTGCAGTGATGCTGCTTAAAAACAACAGCGGGTGTGTCCACTAACGCTGAGCTTGGGCCGGAGCTGCTCCCCCCGTGGGCCTCAACACCTGACCACGGGGACCACTGACCTGGCAAATGCCTCCTCCGACCAGCACAGGGCCACAGTAACTCGTGCCTTTGAAGTGATGGAGGGACCTGTGTGGTGCTGCACGACTCTGCACGTCCCACTTACCGGAAGCCGAGTCGTTTCCTCCCTCAGTGAGTTATTCCTCAGTGAGTCTGAGTGGGGTGGCCGCGGGGTGGACTGGTCAGGGGAGTGTCTGTGACTGTACGAGGCCGGCAGCACGCAGCGCCCTCTCCTTGGGCCATCGCGCTGGGACCTGGTGACAGCCCCAGCACGGGAAAGCTGGCCCGCAGTCCCCCGGTTACTGCGCTTGCCTCGACCTGGACGTCTATGCCCTGCCCGGCCCTCTCCTGCTGGCTCCCGGAGGTCTTCACGTGAGCTCCTCTGTCCCTCCTTGCCCACCCGTGCCCAGTCCCAGCCTCACGGGAACACGTTTCTGTCGGACCAAGTTTCAAGTACAACCAACACCAAGTGGTGCCGAGGCGCCGCGCCACTCTTCAGGGAAGACTCTGAAAGGAGCTGCGAGGGGAGAGCTGGGCTGCGGGTGCAGGGCTGTGTAAGCTTCTCCCTCCGAGTCACACAGATCCCCACCGAGCAACTCTACCGTAAGTGAGACCGAATGGGGGCTGGCAGATGGCCTGGCGGTTGAGGCGGTGGACTCCCATGTGATCCACCACAGTTCGAGTCCCACACCCAGTGGCTTGCTTCTCACTTTCCCTCTCTTTCTCCAGTCAAATTTAAAATAATAAATAAATATTTGAAAAGAAAAAGAAACCAATGGCAGAGTAAAAGATGACCCATGTTAATTCAGTAACACGTAACTTCCAGTCTTAGTTCTGCCATTATTTCTTAAAACGCAGGCTTTAACAGAGACAGCGCGGCTTCTATTCGCCAAATCCCAGCTAGGAATTCACAGCAGAGCCAGAGCTACAGCAACGAACTCAATCTGCACAACTCATGTTAGAAAAAGGTTTAGTACATTTTTGTTATAAAACTCATTTACAGGAGACTATTCACATGTACTTATCAGCAAATTTGCTCCTGATAATTCACAAAAAATAACTAAACAAATTGTGTACAATAATTCCGAGGCAAATTACATACAAAGAAGCAAAACAAGTTTGTAAGCAGAATATACTCATGTTGAAATAATACTGAAAGACAGGACACTCTCCTAATGCCACGGCAAGGACTAAACAAAGAGCCATACATTTTCTTTGCAAAAAGATGAGCCGCCACCCGACAGCCATCTGTGACAGCCTTCAGAGGCAGGGCCGCAGTACGCGTACCTACCGGAACCACAAACAAAGTTTCAAACTGAACGCCGGGCACAGCTGCACCCTGCCGGGAGAGGCGAGGCTGCGGCAGCTCTCCCAGGACCACGCCCGGTGGGCAGCGAGCCCAGTGAGCAGGACCCAACGACGGGCATCAAAACGAACTCAGGAAAACGGCGATGTGCGTGCCGCAGAGTCATGTGTTGGGGAAACCTTGATGCATGTGTTAAGATGAATGTAAACAGAGGAGGAAACACCTGACCCCACGGTCATGCCTCCTTGAGAAGCTGAGAGTTTGGGGTTCTCGAAGCAGACACTACAAGAAGCTTCTGCTGAAGGGAGTGCTTAGCCAAGGTAACAAGAAAGCAAACTTCAAATGACGAGATTTCCTGCCGAAGCACAGCACGTGGAAGAGGCTCAGCCTCTGAGCTCACCCGACCCCCACTGGTATCTTCCTGCATTGCCCAGCGGACAAATCTCTCCACCCGCAAGCAGGAGGTGCAGGCTGCTGGGTGGGACCGAGCGCTGGCTCTGAGAAGACTGCTGTGGGTCTCGGGAGCATCCAGCTGACATCTGTCATGCAGTCTGAACAGCAGGAGGAATGACAGAGCCAATAAAGTAGAACGTTCGGACTTCTGGCAACGGAACCCTGTTCTTTTACGGCCCTTTATAACCTACTGCTGGGCAATTTCGGACTCACAAAACCATTTTTGCCTAAAAAGTAGACGATAAAGAAATTTCCAACAGTGCACATTAATCTTTGGGGCTTTGTTTTCTTCCCCAAACCAGCCAGCACTCGCTACAAACCCCTAGTCCCTGCTCCTGCCGGCTGAGCTTCGAGCGCATTCACTGTGGACGTCTGGACACGACAGAGCCAGGCAGCTCCCTCCCTTCTCCACTGACATGGCCACTCCCTTCTCCCAAGCCTCTTCTCCACTGACATGGCCACTTCCCTTTCACAAAAGCACAGCCACCTCTACCAGCAGCTGACAACGCCCCCCGATCTCCATCAGCAGTGGATCCGCGCCGCGTCGGCCAGACGGCTTCTGGACATCACGGGAACCCCGTCAGCAGCCCTCATGAGCTCGCTAGCCTTCGTTTTACAGAGCATCTCCTTGCCTGAAACTGGACCTGGCCTTCCCCAAAGGCTCCCCAGGGATCAGAAGTATACGTGGGGTGTCTGACACAGCGTTCTCGGCTCTCCCAAACTCGACATTCCCGGCCACCTACAAGCCTTAAGGAAGCAGCTCAAGGTGAGTCTCCCACAGCCGAGCTGGCTCTGGTCTGGCAGCTGGCCACACGTCTGGAACTCAGCAGTTCCATGAAGCTCACGATACGCTGGAGACAGCGGAGTGACTATTCAAGAATTATTCCTGCATTCTGTTTTCTTCTATTTTAAGAATTATTATGAATTTTAGCTAGAGAGCTATGTGCATATTAAAATAGGTAAATGAATTTGTCACAGAAGAATCATACCCTTTGCCAGGTGGCTCGTCTGGACACGCACACCAGCACACCGTGACCCGATCTAACTGCATCCCAAAGTTTCCCCCGAGAGACTCCAGTTGTTGTCTAAAATAGAAGTAGAGACATCTGACCCACCAGAGCTAAACTCAGCTTCTTCCGAATCGCCTCGGCTAGTACACAAGTCTGTCTTGCCATATAACAGTGCGGAAAAGAACTGCCCTCCTCCAGAAACCCCCGTTTTTTAGTATAAAGTTTGATCTGTTGAAAAATGATTAACATTTCAAGCTGGGGAAAGAAAACCTGTCTGCTACATTAAATTTTAAAAGGATTCTGATACTTGCTATACAAATATACATTTCAACTTTTACAACACTCATTCCAGTCTGACCCCCTTTTCTGCAGAACAAGAGGCCATTATTTTAAGTCTCCAACTTCAAGGACATTATTACCAATACACAAACGCTCTCCAAAAACTTTTGCACTGACAAGAAGTGCTGAAGATGGCCCAGAGGCTGGGTCAGGATGTATTTGCCCTCTTTCCAGCAGTACACAAATTCCTTCGAAAAGAACAATCGTCCGGATGGGCCTGTCAGCTGGCCGTCTTGCTGTACAGTGCCACGGCTGACAGTCTGCCGCCCCACTCCACTATACAGTAGCCTTTCGTTTCTTCGAACTGCCGTGTGGCCTGTCAGCTGGCCGTCTTGCTGTACAGTGCCACGGCTGACAGTCTGCCGCCCCACTCCACTATACAGCCTTTCGTTTCTTCGAGCTGCCGTGTTCCTCCTCCAGTCTCCTCCTGTCCCAGCCAGAGTTCCTCTTTGTGTGATGGGTCACAGAGTCACACCTCCCACGCTCCCCTTCACTGGAAGCCCTGGTCTCTCTTCTGTGACTGCACTCCCCCCTTTCTGGGTCAACGCATTCTCTTTCACGCGTGGAAGCATCAGCACCAGCGGCGGGAGGCTCACACTGCACTGGGGGTCCGTGGCTGTGCTGAGCGGCTCCTCCAGCTGGGGACTGCTGCCCGACACCACCCAGGTCCTGGTGACCTACGGGAAAACCCGGCTCGCCCATGGGAGGTGTTGCTCCAGGATGCTGGGGGCTCAAGGACTGTGGATCCCTTGGGAGTACCCCTCTGGTCTCCGCGCTCATTCTCCTAAGCAGTCGTGGGTCCCGCAGTTGGTCGTGAGCAAGTCTTTCCGGGTCTCTTGAGGTAAAAGTAACAGCCGCTTCCTTGAAGTCAGAGGGTGTGTGATAAGGAGAAGCAGCAAAGGAGGTTGTGGCAAGTCCACTGTCGAGCTTGGTGCTGGGCAGGCCGCCCTGGGGTCTGTCCACCTCTGGAGCCATGGTAGGGGGGTGAGTCAGACTCCTCTGGAGCACGGGCTTGAGTTTCAGAATCTTCACTGCATCGTGTCGATAGTTCCTGTCGCAAGTCTTAATGATGGCCCCGCGCCTCTGAGCATCCTGAATCAGATGATTCCAATGCTGGTTTTCCTTACAACAAAGAGAAAGAAGAAACAACTGTATCCCAGAGAGATACTCATGTGCTTGGGAAGCGTGGGGTTTCAGCTTTTATTCCTAAAGACACTACGTATATTTCCATGAATACACCATTCCTTTATTTTTTTTTTTGAAAGGCCAGTGACTCTGAGCTTTTTTTTTTTTTTTTTTTTAGTTATTTATTCTTATTTATTATTGTTCAATTTGACCACAGAGAAACAGAGAGTCAGAGAGGGAGAAAGAGAAAGAGAGAGGGAGAGTTAAAAAGCAAGTTGTCAAGTCCTGGACTTAAACCATGATCAAGCATGTGGGAGTCCAGCACCTTAACCACCATGCCACCTGCCAACCCCAAGAATCCACTACTTTTCAAGAAGGCTGAAAGGAAAAGGCAGGTCTGAATGCAGAATGATAAAGCCACACTGCTAAAAAAGAGCATGGTGACACTAACTTCGTCAGTCACTTCTGTCACCGTTGCTCACTCTACATGGCCACAAGCTGTCATGCATACCTGGACCAGTCGCCAACAGTACCGATGTACATATTTAAATTCCACTTATTTAAAATCAAATGAACTCAGTTCCTAGAACAAGTGGTGGTGTAGTGGTAACACAACCTGACTACGGTGGGAAGGACCTAGGTTTCTGCCCTGGGATCTCTCTGACCATTCCGGGCATGTGCATTCCTATAACCTGGACTGGCTGAGACTAGGGGTGAGTGTGGAGTAAAGATCCTATTAGGTGGTGTGGTGGTTAAGGGTGCTGGGCTCCCACATGGCCAACCGCAGTTCGAGTCTCAGACCTGGTGGCTTGCTTTCTCACTTTCCCTCTCTAGTCCCGGACCTGGCAGCTTGCTTTATGGAAGAAATAAACTTAAAAAAACAAAAACAAAAACAAAACTTCAGTTCCTGGAGCCGGCAGGTGGTGTGGTGGTTAAGGGTGCTGGGCTCCCACATGGCCAACCGCAGTTCGAGTCTCAGACCTGGTGGCTTGCTTTCTCACTTTCCCTCTCTAGCCCCAGCCCTGGCAGCTTGCTTTCTCGCTTTCCCTCTCTCTCTCTCTTGCTCCCACTCTGTCCCTCTTGGGTCAACTTTAAATAAGTAATTAAATAAAGTTAAATTTTTAAAAAATTCTTAAAAAAACCTTCAGTTCCTTAGATGCACAATGGCTACACATGACTAATGGTTACCAGGCTGGCCAGTTTGGCAAGAATATTTCCACCTTCATAGAAAGTTCCCTTGGACGCTGCTGACAGGCTGACTGCCTCACAGCAGGGCTGACATTTAGAAACAGGAAGGCTTGGTTTCGGAAAGCAAACTTCGATTGCACGTGATCGTTCTGGAAAGAGGCATGTTATCGTCTACTAGATTCTCAAAGACCTCCCTAACAAAAAACACAGGCAGCACGCCTGAGAGGGGGGGAAGCCTTGCTGCCTGCACTTCCCTTTTCCCTTCAGAGTGACCTGCAGTTTCCATGGACCTAACATGGGAGAACTCTTGTGCAGGTAACTGCAGACCCCTGGCTGTTAGTAAGCCACTGAAAAGATCTTGCCTAGGGACCAGCAGACGGTGCAGCAGTTATGTCACTGGACTCCCACATGGCCAACCGCAGTTTGGGTCCTGGACTCGGTGGCTTAAAACTCACGCTGGGCCTGTATGTGTGCGTGCCCAGGATCCTGGGAGGAGAATGGAGGGGAGACTGTGGCGTGGCCGTCCCCACTGAGGGGTGACTTCTCACTTTCCCTCTCGCTGTGTCTGTCTCCCCCTCACCCCATTCCACACTCCTGCATGTACACGTTGCCGTAAGGCAAAAATCTCCGGTTAAAAAAGGAAAGAAAAAGAAATACAAGACCTTGCCCGAAAACCTTCCACAGACGTCTTCTAGTAAGACAAGAAGGATCATCATGTAAGACTTAGAGAAAACAGGGCCAGCAGGTGGTATGGCGGTTACGGTACTGAACTCCCACAAGCCCAACCATGGTTCAAGCCCCAGACCTAGAGGCTTAAAAATCATGCTGGGGGACCAGCAGGTAGCGTGGTGGTTAAGGTGATGGACACTTCAACATGGCGGAACACCGTTTGAATCCCAGACCTGGTAGCTTCCTTTCTCATTTTCCCTCTCTCTGTTTCTCTTGTTCTGTCTCTCTCTGGTCAAATTAAATAAGTGAATAAATAAAATTAAATAAATAAGTCCTTTAAAAAAATTTTAAAAATCACGCTGGGCAAGTTGCACGTGTGCCCAAAATCCTAGGAAGAGGATAGAAGTGAAAGGATTACAGCACGGTTAGGTTATCTCCTAACCACGGGGGGTGGTGGAGGTGGTGTCATTTTTTACTTTCTGTCTATCTCTTTCTCCACTGAGTGTATGTGCCTATGGCAAAAAAATCTTTAAAAAAAATAAATAAATAAAAAGGAAGAATAGCCATTGTGAGTTCTAAGAAAACCTTACAAACAATGATAGCATATTCTTAGAAAACACTGACTGCAACCCTTTTGATTGTACTGGGGATGACCAAGGATTCTGATGACCTTGAATGGAAAAAAAATGAATTAGTGCTATCTTCTGAAAGGGAATACTTCAAGAATATCTTTCTTTTTTGAGCCACGCGCCGGCCGGCCCCCTCCTGGGGGCCCCGCGGCCGGGGGCTTCCGCCCCTGCGCAGCCGCGCCAGAACTGCTGGCCCCCCTCTGGCCCCCCTCCGGGGCCGGGCTCCTTTCTGGCCTCTCCGGCGCTGGATGGCCCGGAGGCCTTAAACAAGGTTGAAGAGCTTGCAACTTGAGAAGATGATGGTTACCAGCACTGCATTACCTCAGGGAAAAACAAGAACTACTCTACCATTCTTAAGGAAGCCAGATACCCGAGGACAACTCACACTGCAGATCCCCACAACACCATTCCTGGTAACTACAAGATGACTGCTGTGCCGCATCAGCTGATAATCATCCCTGCGTACCAGAACTGCTTTCCTGAAACTGCATTCCCTGGAGACTCACCTACACTTGTGGATCTGCCGGAGACCCTCCCTTAATCCAACCCTGAATAGAATCTATGCTCCCTATTGTCAAAAACTTTATGAGCTGATAATTGGAACTCGTGGCCTCTCTCCCTTTACTTGTATGTAGCACTTTTTCAATAACTCTTCTGGAAGACAACTGTACATAGCAGAGATATTGTAAGGAGAGAGTGGGAAAGGGCAGAGGGACAAACATAGGGGAAAAAAAAGAGGAAGAGAAAAAAAACATATATATATACATAAGCATGAAAGTAGAAATGGCCGCCTGCTCTGTAAAGAATAAAGAAAACAAAGAAAGTATATTTAAAAATCAGCAGAATCTGTGAATGTGACCTTACTTGGAGAAATGTCTTTCACATTTGATGATATCAAGGAACTTTAAGTGAGATCATTCTCAGTTATGCCCAATTTCTAATGGCAGATGACTTTTCGTCTTTTCTTTTTTTGGAGAGGTTTTTGCTATAGGGCGTATGCGCTTGCCAGACAGAGACAGAGAGACAGAAAGTGAGAAATCACCCCCCAGGGGGGATGGCCATGCCACAATCCAGTCTCCTCCATTCTCCTCTGGAGATCTTGGGCACGCATGCACACGCGTCCAGTGTGAGTTTAAGCCACCGAATCCGGGACTCGAACCGTAGTTGACTACGTGGGAGTCCAGCGACACAGCCATTATACTAACTGCTGGTCTCATCTAATGGCAGATGTCTTTAAAAGAAGTAGAGAAGACATGGAGACAAGTACCTGGGAAAAGACCATGTGAAGATGAAGGCAGAGACAGAGGATATGCTACCAGAAGTCAAGGAATGCTTTAGAGCCAGGAGAAGTTGAAAGCAGAGTCTCCTCTAGGGTTTTTGCAAGTAATGTTGCCTCTTTGACACCTGAATTTCAGACTTCTGGCCTCTAGTACTGTGAGAGAATAAACTTAGGGTTGTTTGAATATATGAAGTTTATGATAATTTGCTATGGCAGCCTTAAGAAACAAATAGAATTTCCTAAAAGGTCTGCCTTCCAGGACAAATCTTTGAAATTGGATGTGTGGGAACAGCTGTCTCATGTTAGAATCACACATTGTGGGAGGTTTGGTCAGAGTCTAGAAAGTATGAGACTTCAGGTCCTAGATCTAGCATGTACCTGCCAAGTGATTTAAACTGTTTTTAAAAATTAAAACAATGATGACATTTGTTAAAAAAAAAAAAATATATCTTTCTTTTTTTAATTTTTTATTTATTTATTTTTTTTAGGATTTTGCTACAGGGAGTGTGTGCTCGCCAGAAAGACAGAGACTGACAGAGATAGAAAGCAAGAAATCACCCCCCATGGGGGATGGCCACGCCACAATCCCTTCTCCTCCATTCTCCTCTTGGGATCTTGGGCATGCACGCACACACGCCGGGTACGGGACTTGAACCACAGTCGACTACATGGGAGTCCAGCGACATAGTCATTACACCAACTGCTGGTTCCCTATCTTTTTTTTTTTTAAGAGAGATTTTTGCTATAAGGCACGTGCACTCGCCTAAGAGACAGAGACAGAGAGACAGAAAGCTAGAAATCACACCCCCTCCCCCCGCACCCCACCCAAGTGGGGATGGCCATACCACAATCCCTTCTCCTCCATTCTCCTCTTGGGATTTTGGTGTCACATACACACGTGCCCTGCATGAGTTTTTATTTTTTTTTTTTATTTTTTTTTTTTTTGAGAGGTTTTTCACTATAGGGTGTGTGCGCTCGCCAGACACAGAGAGACAGAGCGACCG